GCTCCCCCATTATTAACATCCTATATTAGCATGGCAGATTTATGACAATCAATTAACTAATAATGATACATTATTATTAACTATAGTCCACATTTTATTATATTTATATTTTATCAGATTTCCTTAGTTTTTACCTAATGACCCTTTTCTGTTCTAGGATTCTATCTAGTATACCATATTACATTTAGTAATTATGTCTCCTTACCCTTCTTTTGGCTGTGAAAGTTTTTCAGATTTTTCTTTTTTTTATGATGACCTTGACAGTTCGTAGGATTACTGTTAAGGTATTTTGTAGAATGACCCTTAACTGGAATTTGTCTGATGTTTCTTTCATGATTAGACTTGGGCTATGAATTTTGGGAAGACCACAGAATGCTACTCTCATCACATCATATGAAGGGTACGTACTAACAACACAATTTATGTTGTTGTTAACCTTGATCACCTGACTGAAGGAATTGGCCTTTAGTCCAATTTCTTTAATGCCTAATCTAGAACCATTTATAGGAGAGCATTTATACACAGTCTTGATAATATCTTTATTGGACTCATTAGTAGGGGGATTAGCTTGAAGAGGTAACCATTAAAACAGAAAAAAAAAAATTGTTCCCTGAGGGGAGGAGTGGAAAAGAACTAGTTTTCAAGATTCAGCCCTGACCTTTAGGAGACATATGACTTTGTATAAATTACTTCTACCTCTGAAAAATGGAATAATGGTACCAAGTAGTTCTTTGAAGCATGTGGTGAAAATAATGTATGTAAATGTGTTTTCTAAAATGTACTGTCACATGTCAGAACCCTATATAAAATTGTAAACACATTTTTTTCCAAATTGTAAGAAAAGTTAATTTAGAAAGTTACAGAGGTAGTAGAAGGGTCCTTGGAGTTTAGGTGAAAGAAAGGCAAAGGTAATGAGCCTTGGGGGGAAGCAGTGGGGGAAGGGAAAGGCACTTATGTGTTTCCTAGAGGGAGAGCGGGCGAAAAATGTAAACACTTTTGGACAGTTATATCTTTTTTTTTCTTTTTTAATCCTCACCTGAGGACATTTTTCCATTTTTCGTTCAGGTAGAGTGGGAGGGAGAGAGAGGAACAGAGAGAGAGAGAGAAAGGGACACATCGCACGACCAACCAGGACCGCGGAGGTACGTGCCCTTAGCGGGAACCGAACCCGTGTCTCTCTAGAATGCAGGACAATGCTCTAACTGCTGAGCCAAACTGGCCAGGCTGAACAGTTATATCTTAAGCAGTTAACATCACTTTAGGGGACTTCCGGTCAAGATGGCGGCGTAGGTAAACGCGGTATCGCGTCCTCCCACAACCACATCAAAGTTACAACTAAACTACAAAACAATCATTCAAAACTGCCTGAAATCAAGCTGAATGGAAGTCCTACAACTACGGAATTAAAGCAGCAGCCACATCCAGACCGGTAGAAGAGGCGAGGGGTGAAGGCACGAGGGCCTGTGGCGAGTCGGGCTGGTCCCACACTCACGTGTGGCGGATAAAAATCAGGAGGATACCTTGGCTGGGAAGGTCCTTCCTGAGGACTGAGAGATCCCCGTCCCACACCAGGAGCCCCGCTCAGGGTTCCAGTGCCAGGAAGAGAAGTCCCCATAACTTCTGGCTGGAAAAACCAGCAGGAACTGAGGCTCAGGGTAGCAGACACGGCTGGAGCCCCAGGCAGCTCCTTAAAGGGCCCGCGCACAGACTTATCGGACTCTCTCCCTCTAAGCTTGGAGGGGAGGCAGCTCAAGGGGTACCAGAGACATACAGGGAAGAACTGAGCTGTTTGACACTGGAGCGAGGGCTGGAGAGGGGGCTTTCTCTGGGACAAATGTGCTGTCAGAGGCCTTTGTTCCTTTGGTGAGCCCTTCTCTGGGGGGGCAGACAGCCACCATATCTGGGAGTCCAGCAACCTAGCTCACACTGGTAGCCCCGCCCTGGTGACTCCCTGAGGCCCCGCCCCACCCAACTTTCAGGCCCACCCAAGCTGTTGCCACTTGCTTAACCATAGGATTGGCCTGTCTTGGATCCTGCTTCAGGTTTTTCCAAAATTCTTTCAAAGGAGCAGCATCTGGTCTCAGCTCGCCCCATACCGCTTATTAAGTAATACACAGAACAAACACAGGGAGGCAGCCAAAATGAGGAGACAAAGAAACAGGTCCCAAATGAAAGAACAGAACAAAACCCCAACAAAAGAACTAAGGGAAATGGAGATAAGCAACCTAACAGATGCTGAGTTCAAAATACTACTTATAAGGATGCTCAATGAACTCAGTGAGAACCTCAGTGAACTTAAGTGAGGGCCTCAAGAGCATAAAAAAGGACCAGTCAGAAATGATGGATTCACAGTCAGAATTGAAGGAGGCATTAACTGAAATAAAGAATAATTTACACAGCTTCAATAGTAGAGTATGTAAATCCAAGAAGCAAACCACCGATTTGGAATATAAGGAAGCAAAAAATGCACAATCAGAACCTCAAAAAGAAAAAAGAATGCAAAAAAATGAGGATAGTGTAAGGAGCCTCTGGGACAACTTCAAGCATGCCAACATTCGCATCTTGGGGGTGCCAGAAGGAGAAGAGCGAGAACAAGAAATCGAAAACCTGTTTTAAACGATAATGGCAGAAAACATTCCTAACTTGGTGAAGGAAACAGACATACAAGTCCAGGAAGCACAGAGAGTCCCAAACAAGATGAACCCCAAGAGGCCCACACCAACACACATCATCATCAAAATGCAAAAGGTTCAAGACAAAGAGAGAATCTTAAAAGCAGCAAGAGAAAGGTAGCTAGTTATCTACAAGGGAGTTCCCATAAGGCTGTCAGTTGATTTCTCAAATGAAGCTTTGCAGGCCAGAAGGGAGTGGCAAGAAATATTCAGAGTGATGAAAAGCAAGAACCTACAACCAAGATTACTCTATCCTGCAAAGCTGTCATTTAGAAACGATGGCCATATAAAGACTTTCCCCGACAAGAAAAAGTTAAAGGAGTTCATCACCACCAAACCGTTATAATATGAAATGATGAAGGGTCTTTTTGAAGAAAAAGAGAGAATATATGAACAAACAAAAGGGCAATGAACACATATCTATCAACAATAGAATCTACAAACAAAATGAACAGGTAGAACAGAAACAATCTCATAGATACAGAGAACATTTTGTTAGTTGCCAGATCGGAGGGGTGTTGGGGGAATGGGTGAAAAAGGTGAAGAGATTAAGAAGTACAAATTCATCGCTAGACTGACAAACCTCAAAGGGAAAGGGGTTGGGGGGTGGGAAGAAATAAACCAAAGAATTTATATGCATAACCAATGGACACAGACAATAGTGTGGGAAAAGGCAGGAGGGGGGCAGGAGTGGGGAGGAGGGGTCAATGGGGGAAAAATGTGGAACAGCTGTAATACATTCTACATTCAACAATAAAGATTTGAAAAAAAAAACACACAAAACACATCCCTTTAAAGATTCATTTTCAACAGCTGGCTAAGCAAAGCAAGTCAGTATGACGGTGAGGAAAGGATAGATGGGAAGACTCATTATATTAAATGATTTCCCATCTTTACCTTGCTCCCTTTTGCCAAAGTTGGCTTGTCTTTGGAGACTGGATGGGATTTCTCAGATCTTATGAAACTAGAGCAAAGGGATCAAGTTTGATGTGAATTAAATTTTAATAAGTTATTTTTCTGTATTTATGAGTTTGAAGTTATCACGCTTTAAAATTGCAATAATTCTTCCGGGCTATTCTATGGCCATTAGGCAGGTAACTTTGTTTTTGATATAGATGGGAAGCATAGACTAATTATTCAGAGATGACGTCTTCCCGTTGCAAAATCATAACTCTGATTTGAATGAAAATATCAAAGTTTTTGCGTTCTTGAGGTTTTATGCTCACGGACGTCCTTTAGCCAGAGGTTTGAAAAATAAAACAACTTCATCTTCTCCTTAAACAGGAATACAGCCAATCAATTTTTTAAATTTTATGCAAGGGCAAAGGAAGTATGCAGACAAAAGGTGCGGGCTTTCTCTGCATTATCATAATTAGGGCTGAACATATAGCAAAAGTTAGCCTGCTCTAATGCAATGATGTTAGAGACCAGTGATCTGGATTAAAACCTGGGATTTTCAGAAATTTTCTGGAACATATTTGTGTCTTTGATTCCTTGTCTGTAAAACTGTGGGTTGAGAGGATAATGTGAGACTAGGCATGCAAAAACATTCTGTAAGAGATATTATTTCTCATTTAGAATGTGCTGGCTGTCAGAAACAGCATTAGTTATACTTCGAGGGCAGCTTCTGGACTTTCTATTTGGAAGCCCAGCTCGAAGCAAAGGCAGCAGTTTGAGTTGAAGAAAAGAAGCTCACACATTCTTCTTTCCATTCGTGAAAGAAGTAACCTTGGAAACCAGGCTGGCAAGATCCCTTTCAGTCATAAAGCTTAGTTGCTTTTTTTTTGCCTTTCTTCGTAACGTTTGGGGCACCGCTATTTCTTATTTTTTGTTTTGTGTTCTCTCCACCTCGTTAACACAAACGAGAAAATTTCCTTGGTACTGAAGCCGCCCCCTCTGCCCACAGCTCACCCACTGTTTTCCCTGCATCGCAGTCGCAGCCCCAATAGTCCTCAAAGACAAAAACTCTCAGGAGGGGTAATCCTGAGACCCTGGGTTAGGAAATTGAGCAGGTAAAAGATGAAGGGTGTCCGATTCAGATTTAAAAGGTAACCCAAACCGCCAAAATTAACACCAACACACTTTCCGTAGACATAACCCTCGCGAGATATGTCTGCAAAGGGCGAGAGAAGCCCCCTTTCTCGCGAGAAGAAGGGGCGTCGGCGGAAACTAGGAAATGGCCCCCTAGGCGACCAGACACAACCCGTGGGCGGGGTCAGAGTTAAATCCGCCCCCTTCCGGCTCCTTTCCCCGCCCTCTAATGCTGAGGTGTTGTGCCCGAGGTGCAGGCAGTTGGGTTCTCTTGGTTCTTCTTGGCCGGTGCAGGGTCGTGTTCAAAGCCTCCGGAACGCGTTTGGGCCGGATTTGAGGAGAGGGGGCGGGGAGGGGCTTGCGGCCCCGCCCCCTTTCCCGCTCCTTGGCGAGCACCCTGGCCCGCCTACTCCCTCCGCCGGCCCCGGGGCCGCGTCCCCCAGGCAACTCCGCAGCGGAGGCCTGAGCTTCTGCTGGCAGGTGTTGGCTGCGAGGTCCCCAGGCACAGCCCGGTTCGTCCCCATGGTGGGTTTCGGGGCCAACCGGCGGGCCGGCCGCCTGCCTTCCTTAGTGTTGGTGGTGCTGCTGGTGGTGATCGTGATCCTCGCCTTCAACTACTGGAGCATCTCCTCCCGCCACGTCCTGCTTCAGGAGGAGGTGGCCGAACTGCAGGGCCAGGTCCAGCGCACGGAGGTGGCTCGCGGGCGCCTGGAGAAGCGCAATTCGGACCTTCTGCTCTTGGTGGACTCGCACAAAAAGCAGATTGACCAGAAGGAGGCCGACTACGGCCGCCTCAGCAGCCGACTGCAGGCCAGGGAGGGTCTGGGGAAGAGATGCGAGGATGACAAGGTAAGGACGAGTCTGCTCTCCTTAACCCCCATAGTTTCAGCTCCGCGGTGGGGGTGTTAGCCTGCTAGCGGTTGCCTTATGCCTTCCAGGATTGCAGCCCTGGAGGCTCCCCTTTACCGCTGCTTCTATCGGACTTTTCCTGGTTTAATCACTGCCACATTCTCCAATCCCTGCCAGGCAAACTGGCTGTAAGTTCTGGTTATCAAGAATGGCCTGTGTGTGGATGCCGCCTTTTCTCCAAGCTCAATAGCTGAGCTGGCAGTAGTCTTCATCTGGCCTATGTGGCCGCCTTATGTTCACAGATACACAAATCTGGAGACTGCCAGCTCTGGTATGGGTATTTTTGCCCTAGCCTTATGCCACGATCAATATTAATTCATTTATTTAAAGAATGGAGCCTCCTCTAACTTCTCTACTTATGGTAGTCACCATATATTTTTAAAGCAGTATGACTTTTCATAAATCTCTATAGGACAATGTATTAAGAATAAAATATTACTGCCTTTTTTGTGATCAAAAAGTAATGATAGGCTCTGGAACCATATATGTGCTACATTTGTGACTTGGACATAGTTAATCCAAAATCATGCACTCACCATAAATTGTTAATGAAATTAACCCAAAAGGTAGAATTTAAAAGTATTCTATGCAACAGAATCACCTGTCAGTGTTCTTATAGTTTTTGAAAGGAAATAAAAATGAAATTTTGTATGCTTAAGTAGCTATTATGGTTGGTATTTCATGCAGATGGAAAACCATCCAAAGTTTAAATTTAAAAAGTTTAACCCAGGCCGCTTTGGCTCAGCACTTAGAGCCTCAGCCTGAAGACTGAAGGGTCTTGGTTCGATTTCCAGTCAAGTGCACATACCAGGGCTGCAGATTGTATTCCCAGCTCTGGTCTGGGTCATGCCAGAGGCAACCACTCAATGTCTCTCTCACATTGACTTTTTCTCCCCCCCCCCCCCTCTATCTAAAAATCAATGGAAAAATATCCTCTGGTGAGAATTAAAAAAAAAAAGTTTGAAGCTGGACTGTAACTAGACCTGCTACTAAATAGTCTTTGTTCTCACTAACATAATGGAACTATATTAGTTTATGACTTATGCAACTTCTGTTGGTAGAACAGAGTTGTGAAAATTTCTGGGTGGGATAAGTAGGTACCTTTCTTTCTGTATGCTTCTTTGTTAATCTTCACATTGTTGTGTGTGTGTGTGTTCCTATTATAATTACAAGTTTTTACTTTGTATATCAAAATGATTTATAGTAAATCATTGTAAATTAAAATATCCATAAGCTTCCAATTTATTTATTGTCACCAGCCTCCACCTTAGTTTCGTTTCATGAAGATTGAGGCCTTCAGGTAAGTGCTCCTAGGTAACTCCCTCCACTTCACCACAACATAGACATCCTTTGAGAGGAGCAAGAGATCAGCAAATTTGTACACATACTACACACTGAACTCTAAAGACAAACATTCTCGCCTCGGCCGGTTTGGCTCAGCAGTTAGAGTGTCCACCTGTGGTCCAGAGAGACCCAGGTTCGGTACCCGCTAAGGGCATGTACCTCGGTTGCAGTTTGTCCTCGGCCGCAATTGGGGTCGTGCGGGTGGCAACCACTCGATGTGTCCCTTTCACATCTTTGTCTCTATTTTTCTCTCTCTCTCTTTCTTCCTCCCACTCTATCTGAACAAAAAAATGGAAAAATGTCCTCGGGTGAGGATAAAAAAAATAAAGACATACTGTTGGGTGGAGTAGGCAGAAATATATGAAATGTTGGAATATTTAAATGAGATCTTCGGACTTGGAATGGTTAGGTATTAATATTCAAGTTCTCTCCAATCTGAAAGGAAAGATAAATCTTTTCCAGTAATTTATATTCTGGATTCCATTTTTTCTATCTACTGGACTACAAAGATAAGTTTTAGTAGGTTTTCACTTTTACCTTCAAACACTTATAGGTGTCCCCTGTTCTAAAAATTTTTTATTCCCCTATATACTCTCTTCTCCCAGTGAACCAATTTATTTTCTTACTTCCTCTGCTAAACTCCAATTATTTGTGGTCTATAAATGCTTCATCAACTTCTTTTTTCATCCTCATCCTAATCTTGTTTTATTCTGTCAGCCAGCCTTTCCCTCCCTTTTCTGAAGCCATTCACTTGAAGGTCACAAGTGATAGTCTTCCTAGTCAAATCCAAAAAACATTTTTGTTCTCAATCTATTTAATTTATCAGTTTGGTTCTGTTGATTATCTCTAGCTTTTAGGAAACTCTCCCTTCTTGCTTCTATAATATAGAACTGTCTAGATTTGCTTCCTGTCCATTTGTAAAAGAATACTGCCATAGGAATTGTTAATAGGTAATCAAGAGAAAAAAGGAAAACCTTTTTGGGAGGGAAATGTTAAATTGTTTAAGTGGTATATCCTCTTCCTGGAGTATATAATTGTTACATGTTGTTGAGTCAGCTCTGATTCCTGGGGACCCTGTGAATGAGCGATGTCCACAATGTCCTGTCCTCGACAGCCCTGCTCAGCTTCTGTAGGCTCGTGTCTTATAGCTTCTTTTATGGAGGCTATCATTTCATATTTGGTCTTCCTCTTTTTCTGCTGCCTTCTATTTTTCTCGTAATGTGCCCAAGTAGGACAGCTTCAGTTTTGTCATTTTTGCCACCAGCAATGTTTTGGGTTTGATTTGCTCTACTTGTTTGTCTATCTAGCAATCCAGGGTATCCATAAAGTTCTCCTTGAACACCATATTTCAAATGAATCAATTTTTTTTTCCTATTAGCCTTCTTCACTGTCTAAGTTTGCATTTAGTAATTGGGAATACAAGGGTGTGATGATCTTAACCTTGGTCTCTAATGACACCTTTGCTCTTGATGATCTTTCCTAATTCGTCCATTGCTACTCCTCCAATTCTCTTGATTTCTTGGCTGTAGTCTCCCTTTGAATTGGTGGCTGAAACAATGTAAGCAAAATTTTAAACAATATCAGTGTCTTCATTATCTATGTTAGAGTTGTGTATTTCTTCCTTACTCATGATTTTTATCTTCTTGATGTTCAGATACAGTCTTACTTTGGCACTTTCTTCTTTCACTTTCATCAGAAGTTGTTATGAAGTCTCTAAGAAATTTATTAGTAAAGAAGCCTATTTAAGCCCTGGCCAGTTTGGCTCAGCAGTTAGAGTGTGTCGTCGGCCTGCGGACCAAACAGTCTTCAGGTTCAATTCCAGTCAAGGGCATAAACCTTAGTTGCAGTTTGATCCCTAGCCCTGGTCGGGGTTGTGTACGTGGCAACCAATTGATGTGTCTCTCTCATGTCGATTTTTCTTTCTCTCTCTCTCTCTCTCTTTCTCCCTCCCTCACACCCACTCTATCTGAAAATCAATGGAAAAAATATCCTCAGGTGAGCATTAAAAAAACAAAACAAAACAAAAAACTGGAATGCTGTTAGCAATATCTAATAGCTTCCACAACCACCTCCTCAGGTGCTGAAAGACTTTGCTTCTTTAAAATTAAATAAATATCCCAGCCAGAGTGGCTTAGTTGTTGAATGTCTACCCATGCACCAAGAGGTCACCAGTTCGATTCCGGTGAAGTCACATGCCCGGGTTGTGGGCCAAATCCCCAGTGCGGGGCATGCAAGAGGCAGCCAATCAATGTTCTCTCTTATTGGTGTTTCAATCTCTCCCTCCTTCTCCCTTCCTCTTTAAAATCAATAAAGAAAAAAAAATTTTTAATAAATAAAGAAATTAGTCTCAGTCAATTTGATTATAGATTCCTATTTTCATAGCCTATTTGTTATCATGGTACAGAAGAAAATAACAAAGCACACTAGCTGGGAAATGTTTTCCTAGGTATGTTGAATACTTTTATTTGTCTAATATTTTATGCAGCTAGTTTACAAATCTATATCTCTTACTTAACTATCAATTCCATATTTTGAGCTACCTATGGTATCTTTGTTGGAGTGCTTGTGAATGTTCTCGGAGTCAATGAGGAAGCTCTGAACTGGTCATGGAAAGGGGGTTATTGGTCTAGATGAGCTATAGATGAAAATTGTCTTTCAGAGGTGTTTACTTTATTGCTGCTACTCCCTTGATAGCTGGAAAAGTATATGGTAGGTTAAAAAACATTTCAAGCTTTGAAGTCTGCAAATTAGGTTATAGCTCAGTTTATAGCTATATGATTTTGGGACAAGTCATTTAACCACTTTGTGCCCATTTCTTCATCTGTAAAATGGGGATCATAGTACCTACCTAGGTATTGTACAGATCTGAGATCATCTTATTTTTGCCTTACCTCTAAGGGGGTATAGCTTAGAGAGGTGTATTAGTTTGTTAGGGCTACCATACAAAATACCATACAAGAGACTGGGTGGCTAAAAACAACAGGAATTTATGAACTTACAGTTCTGGAGTCTGGAAGACCAAGGTCGAAGTGCTAGCAACAGGTTGGTTTCTTCTGGGGCCTGTCTCTTTGGCTTGTAGATGGCCACCTTCTTGCTGCTTAGTCATCACGTGGTTATCCCTCTGTGCATGCACATCCCTAGTGTCTCTTTTTAAAAAAAAAAATTTATTGATTGATTGATTTTTAGAGAGAGAGAATGGAAAGGAATGACTGGGGAAGGAGAGAGAGAGAAAAAAACAACACCACCAATTTGTTCCACTTATTGATGTATTCATTGGTTGATTCTTGTATGTATCCTGATTGAGGATGACACCTGCAATGTTGGCGTGTGATGATGACACTCTGACCAACTGAGCTGCTTGCCAGGGCCATCTTCCTCTTAAGGACACCAGTCATATTGGATTAGGACCCCACTGTAATGGCCTCATTTTAACTTAATCAACTCTTCAAAGGTTTTATTTCCAAATGGGTTACATTCTGAAGTACTAGGGGTTGAGATGTCAATATATGGATTTTGGAGGAGCACAATTCTGCCCATAACAAGGGGAATCCATGACATACACACTACTTTTTCTCTCTTCTTTTTGTCAGAAAGGC